ACTGTAAATGAGTTTCATGTTTACACTTGGGTTTTATCCATAAGATATTTCATTAGGGAGCTGAAAATGACTCCAAAGCCTAAAACAGAGGACCAGAACTTGAAATATTCTTGGTCCTCAATATTTTGGGTAGAGGATATTCAACCTGTATCCACAGCCTTGGAGGCACATCACAGGGGGTCCCCTGCACAATGTCACTGCTTCGTGTCTCATGAAAGAATGGGTTGTTTTGGTAAATCAGTTTGGAAGCAGTTTAGAACTATGTTCATACGCAGACTAAGATTCTTGAATACACTAACATGAAAGACCTTTTCCCAGAGGGGGACATCAGGCAGACCTTGAGAACTGCTATGACTTTTATGGTCACAGTTAACTGGCTAAAACTCTCAGCAAGTTTGAAAAAGGTGTTTAAACTCCCAGAATATGAACAAGTTATGCAGGGGGGATTCTGGAAGGAAGAGGAAACAAGTGCCAATATAAACAAATGGATACTCAGGAGTTCACCCTAGAAAACATGGGGGATGGCCCCACAAAGAAAGACTCGCCTGGAACTTTCTGGTTTTCTGCCAAGATGATCATTTTCTTTATGTGCAGCTCCTTCAGTGTGGAGAAGGGCTCCAGTGTCTTCCTGTTCCACAGCACAAGAGCTGCCTTGTCTGCCGTCACCAGGTAGGGCTCATGGGCCGCCATAACCACATCACTCCAGGATGCGTTCAGGGAGCATGTTCGGTTCTTTAGTAGACTGAGACTGTGCAACCCTAGGGAAGAATAAGAATCAAGATTAATTGGCCTGTGACCTAGAGCAAGGTGGGAAGTATCAGTACCATGCGATGGGGTCCAAAGACCCAAAACTCCAAGGAAGCACATTGCCCTCTTTGAAAGTTTCATGGATTTTAGTGTTATAAGTTTAAAGTAACTAGTGAATATTTTAAGCTCCAGGAAAGTGGGAATCTTAGGTCTGACACTCAGAGACACCAGCTGTGACCTCACTGCCTGAATGTGTCTTGTGTTGTTAGGTTTATGACAACCCGACCCAAGCCAGGGTCATCCGTGAAGAGGGAACTTTAATTGAAACGTGCCTTGTTAGACTGGCCCAGAGGCAAGCCTATGGGGTATTTTCTTGATTAATAACAGATGTGGGAGGTCCCAGCCCATGGTGGGTGGTACCATCCCTGGGCAAGGTCCTGGGTTCTATAAGGAAGCAAATTTAGAAAACCAGGAGGAGCAAGCTGGTAAGCAGTACTCCTTCATGGCCTCTGATGTAGTTCTTGCCTTCAGGTTTCTACCCTGAGTTCCCTTCCTTCATAATGGACCAGAAGTTGGAAGGCTGGGCAAACCTATTCCTCTTCACGTTGCTTTTGGTCCTGGTGTTTAAACACAGCAATAGAAAGCAGCGTGTACTAAAGAGCATGGCTCTCAGTGTGTTGCTACGGGCCCTACGGCAGCTGCTAGGTAAGAAGGTGGGCAATCTCTGTGCAGCTACAGCTTATACAGTTTTATCAAGGTCCAAGCATAGCTCGGTGCCTCCTGAGCAGAGGATGTGTGCTTCTGTTATTTCTAGCTGTGGAAGAAAATTTTGGAAAAACAACTAAGTATATATTTTGAAGCTTTCAAGTCTATTATTTCTGGTGTTATATATTTTTTTAATTCCTAAACCAGACTGATAGATAAGAGATGCCTTGCAGTAACTGTCAAAGTTTGAGTTAAAGTCTTTGTCGAAGCAGTGCTCAGAATAAGTAGGACAGCTAGAAGAAAGATTTTGAATACTCTTTATACAAAGTAACAGTACATGCTTGAGGAGATGAATACACTAATTACTGTAATTTGATCTTTACACATTGTATACAGGTGTCAAAATATCTTATTTATCCCACCATAGCTCAAAACACAAAAATTAACTTAAAAAAAAATGACTTGAAGCATTGTACTGTAAAGAAGCTTTGGCATATGGCCTCAGATTCTACCCATGGTAATATTGTATAGTACTTACCCAACCCTTTGGTGGTCCAGAGGATACTAGCAGACCCAAGGTCCAAGGCCATCCGGGTGTCAGCCGCCCAGGTGCCTCTCCAGACTTCCTGTCTAGTTTTGCCGTCGAGGGTCATGCTTTGCAGGGGCCTCCCACTCTCCACCCAGTACAGCACCTGTCTAGGCCAGTCAAGAAGCAGCTGTAGTATAACATTGCCAGTGCTGTAGAGAGTGTAGGAGTCAGGGCCAGGAACTCTGGTCTTCTGAATCGTACTTCGGTCACAGGGTAGCCAGAACAGGTTCCCGGTGGAGATGTCCACATTTGCTGAGCAGACTGTGGGAGGGACAGAGGCTGCCTTAGAAAAGGCTTCTAGGTATATTTGCATACTGACTCAAATGTATCAAGGAGAGAAGAGAGACCCAGCCCCCTTGAGCAGACACTTCTCTGCAACATGAACCTCTTAATGGCTACTCTGAATCAGGCAGCTTGTGACTTGAGTCCCAATGGTCCCCACAGCCACCTGGCAAGATCCACTACATCTTGAAGGAGATGTCCACGTGTTCTGCATTTGAACACAGGCCTGACACTTCAGAGTGACATCCCTTCTTCTTGCGAGTCAATATGCAAATCAGTCATTTATACATTAAGGGGTTAGATTTGAAATTGCTTTAGGAAAACAGACTAAAACAAGAGACATCACTTCAGATAGAATGCAAGGTCACCAAGAGAGCACAGACAAGGAATAAAATCTACACTGAGAACATGCAGGTATGATAAGGACCAAGCACAGAAAAAATATGGGTATTGTGGTGATTTGAATGAAAATGCCCCCACTAGGCTTACAGGGAGTGGCACTCTTAGGAGTTGGGACTTTGTTGGGGTCGATGTGGTCTTGCTAGAGAAAGTGTGACACTGGGGGTGGGCTTTGAGGTTTCAGATGCTTAGGTCAGGCCCAGTGTCATTCTCTCTTCCTTCTGCTTGTAGATAAGGATGTAGAACTCTCAGCTGCACCTCTTCATCACCATGTCTGTTTGCAAGCCACCAGGCTTCTCACCATGATGATAATGGACTAAATCTCTGAACTATAAGCCAGCCCCAATTAGATGTTTTCCTTTAGTAAAGTTGCCGTGGTCATGGTGTCTCTTCACAGCAACAGACACCCTAACTAAGACAGGCATCCTTTATCAGATGTGAATAACTGAATCAGGCGCTAACTTCCAACACTCTTTCCTTCCTGCTCATGCCCTATACAACAGGCCTATGGCAGAAGGAGGCTAGAGTTGGTCTACCATGGTTTGCACCCAGTCATTAAGATTAAGAGAAGAATCGAGCTAGAAGGTCAGAATGCCTCCCGCGAAATCCTGTTTCTATGCCTCGGTTTCCTCAAATCCATTATAAGAATGCTTCTCTCATGAGGCTATTACAAATAGAGCTAAAACAGAAAATCTTAGAATAGTGACTGCTATTTTATGGTAAGTTACTAAAGCTGACCACACAAGCTTACAACAGCCAAGCGCCAGGAAATCTGCAAGATGATGGTTCAATTAATTTAAAGTAATTAAATTAATCATATTGATTTACAGCAGTAATAAATATTTGACTAATAAATTCTTAATTGTTTTATTGCAATTTACTATTACTGGCTTCGAATTCCTTATCATGAAACTGCATGTGGCTCTGGACTTGGTATTCTTTGTGGACTTTTTACAGATTGGCTTCGAATGGGACACGAGTCTAAACATGATATTTGTTTTCGTTTCCTGTAATATATATATATATATATATATATATATATAGCCTCAAAGCAGTTTTATAAAACACTGCCTGCCCTTCACTAACTGAGGACAGATGTGGAATTTCCCACCTATCGCATCATGGAGGACATTGAGATTTTATGGCAAACTCTATCACGCTTTTGTTTTTATAGTCAAATCATTCCTGAAGGGTGAACATACTGTGTAAAGTTTGCTTTCATGAATATTCCGAAACCCATTTTAACCGTGTCACATGGTAGCTTGGAAGCTGGCATTGTGGGGTGTTTACACCATGTTTACGCCATGAAAACTGTCAGCACTGTGCATCTGGGCATACTTGTTTTGGAGTGGCTTGTTGGTTTTGTTTTGTTCTCCAGACTAGAGATGGATAAATAACTGACGTTGGGCCAAATTTGGTCCACTGCCTTTTGATATGGATAACTTTTCATGGAATACAGCTAGTAGTTCACACACTGTATAACGCTCTTTTCATGATATAATAACAAATATCCACCAAACATGACGATTCTTACTGGCATTTCATACAAAGTTTGTCAATCCTTAGTCTTTACTTACGAAAAGAAATATGGGTAGAGGTGCTTGCCACCAAGTTTGATAACCTGAGTTTGATCCTTGGCACCCACGTGGTGGCAGGCCAAGAACTAATTCCTGAAAGCTCTCCTCTGATCTACTCACACACGTGTAAACATGCATACACACACACACACACACACCACAAAATAAAAGAAATATAAAGAAAGCAAACATGCTGATTCCACCTACATGTGAGATCAATTCAACTCTAAGTAGCCAGCAAATCCAAGAATCATTTTCTAGCACTTATAATGTATTAATCAGGTCATCAAAGCCACCGTTTATGGCACCAGTGAATTAATTCCATTGTATCTTCATCACTTCACCTTTGTTTCACTTGTTCATAGAAACAGAAGTATGAAATGGTATTCAAGTCAAAACTACACCTCCTCAGCCGGGCGGTGGTGGCGCACGCCTTTAATCCCAGCACTTGGGAGGCAGAGGCAGGCGGATCTCTGTGAGTTTGAGACCAGCCTGGTACAAGAGCTAGTTCCAGGACAGGCTCCAAAACCACAGAGAAACCCTGTTTCGAAAAACCAAAAAAAAACAAAACAAAACAAAAAAAAAAAACAAAACTACACCTCCTCTACGACTTTACCAGATAAAGGGTTCAGTCTAGGGCTTTACATCAATCATGGACTGCGTATGACTTGTCAGTAAGTTTTATTATAAGCATATAGCAGGGGATGTGCATGCACAGTTCTTTCTCCTATTATGCTTTTGTTTCTATTTCTTAGGCATTGCAACGAGATACCGGAGGTGGGGAAAAAAGTAAGGAAAGAAGGGTTTATTCCGGCCCATGGTCTACTCTCCAGCGGTTTGTCTCCAGGGCTTCTGGGCCACTGTGTGGTAAAGCAGGACAAGGTGGCAGAGAGCACGCAGTGGAATGATGGGGTTTACAGCACCTTGGACAGGAAGTTGGCAGGGAGAAGACCAGTTGTACTTCCCAAGGCCTAGCCCAGCAGCCTCCTTCCCCCAGGCACATTCTGGCTTCTCGCAGCCCATTCGTTTCTGAACTCCTCGCTGGTTTAATCTACTGATGAGGTTAGCAACCTGATGATTCGATCTCAACAAACACCGCCTGAAAGTCCTCATAAAACATACGACTGGGACGAGGGTGGCGTTCATTTGCTATCCAAACTGTAAGCCCCAGAGAGCCAGTTGTTCAACCCATCTACTGGGTACGATAGCGAGAACTCAATGTTAACTACCGAGGGGGTGGAGAAACACATGTGTGGTGACTCAGGGTGAGGGGGTGTGGTGTGTGTGTGGGGGGGGAGCCACTACACACAGCCTTAATGTGCTACGTATTGTTCTTCCCTTCGGGAAGTGTATTTCTTTACTACATCACAACCTCCCGTGGGAGGAACTGCTGTCAGATTTGGTCAGAATCCTCTCCATATCCGTGAAGTCATTCTTGCCCAAGCTCAACGCTCTCTCCCTTGCCAGGCTTTGCAATGTACAGAGAGTGTTCATTCTTTTTTTTTTTAAACAACTTTATTTAACTTTATTTCATGCGCATTGGTATAATGATGTCAGATTCTCTTGAACTGGAGCTACAGACAGCTCTGAGCTGCCATGTGGGTGCTGGGAATTGAACCCGGGTCCACTGGAGGAGCAGTCAGTGCTCTTAACCACTGAGCCATCTCACCAGCCCCGAGAGTGTTCATTCTTATACTGAATTATGGATTTCATCTTTGCCCTTTGCAGACTCAAGGTTGAAAACCTCCTTTCCAGGCTCACATAACGTTCTTTGAACAATGCCACATTTGTGCTTAAAGAGACATACTACGAAGTCTTCTCATTTTTTCACTAAGAATTTTAACTGGATTTTTTGTTTGTTTGTTGGTTTGTTTGTTTTTGGTCTCAATTTTCAACTTTAGTGTAAGAGTCATGTGCCCAAGAGAAAGCACTGACCTCAGTGTACTCAAATGGACTGATGGCTTTTAAAGAGGCCACATAATCAGTGGCCTTGTCTGGCTAGCAGGAGTGAGACTGTTGTCTTTGTTCTGTTTGAACCACTGCTGCAGTGTGTTTGGATCTCTAATGCCCCACTAAGGTTCATGTGTTAGTGCCTTGACGCTCAGCCTGCTATTGGGATGCTGTGGGACTTTTAACGGATGAGGACCAATGGGAGACAATCAGGTAATTGGGAATATATGCCCTCAAATGGTCTACGGGTTTCCAGTCTCTGCCTTTTTGTCTCCTTTTGTATTTTTCTGTGGCCTTGGGCCCACAATTCTCCTCCCAACATTGGCGACCAGCACCACCACCAAGGCCTAAAAATAATGAGTAACCCTAAATGGACTAAGAGCTAAAAACCAATCTTTTCTTTTATTTACTTATGCATTCCTTGTTCAGTTAGGATTTTCTCTTTACAAATTGATCACCTTGGGCATTTATGATACTTATGGAGAACTATCATTGCTCTACAATAGAGCCAGCTCAAATTAAACCAATAGTCCTTGATATAACTGCAACACAGAAGCCAATTAGCATGGCCAGCCAGCGGGGAGAAGGTAACATTTCCATTAGGTAGGAAGACATTTTGTGATCAGGCATCTCACAGATAGCTGTTAGGTGCTGTCACGGTTAGTTTGTCCTCTGACTGGGGCCTTAGAAATTGCTACTCACCTGCCATTGTACTTATCCAGCTCTCTGGGTCCTGCAAGGCCCCAAGGAAGGTGTCAAAGGCACTTCTGTTTGCGAGGCAGAGCCTTAGCACTTGGCAGAGCACACAGGGACAGATGTTCAGAAATCTCATTACTCACCCTGAGCTCAAGGCTCCATCCTTTACGATGGAGACATTTGCTGCATTTAGGCAGAATCAGGAGAACTCGAGGGTGAGGTGTAGCGTTTAGGAGTGTGGGAAGGGAAAGTATATACTGCCATATTAAGAAAATATCTAGCTTTTTCTCTCTGAAATCTGCATTGCAAATGACTTTTAAATTAGAGTATGAAAAATCTGCAATGCAAAACTGAAGAACGAAAGGATCTTTTTTTTTTCTATTCTTCCCTGACTTAAGGTCGGGAAAGCAAAAATTTAAAAAAAAAAACAAAAACCGAAAAACCTTATCTTTCTATTTAACCTCAAGACAGTGGTCACACCCAAGAACAACGGGTCAATAGCTGATATCACATTTAGTTAGTCACACCTAGTCTTAGGCATGAAAATACATTTAGATCAGGAATGGGTGCACTTTTTTGGTCCTACACATTTTAGACCCAGAAAATAAAGGAAGAAAACAAGATGACTACCACAGCTCACCTGTATGCTGGGTCCAAATCTCTCGCTTTTGCCCTGAATATCCCTCTGAATAAATGAGATGACCCTGGGCATCTGACCAATAGATGAAGTTCCTTTTCCAGTCCACATCCAGTAAGTAGAGGTTCCCAGCATGCTCCTCCACTAGAGTTCTTTCTATAGCAGATCCCATAGAGCTGACTTTCAGCAAGTATAGACGCTTGCCAGAAGAAAACACAACTTTCAGCTCTGCAAAGGGAAGGGAGAGGTTTGCTGTTTGACCATTCAGACGAATGCCGGGTTCCCTACGGGGAGTAGCCTCATTTCAAGCTCAGGCACCCACACAAATGTCTTCCATCCCCGCCTGTGTAGCAGACACACATGACCCCATCACCACCATAGCCTCTAAAGGTGGGCTATTTGGGAAGATGGCCAGTGTTAGTGTCAGCTTTTCCGAGGCATGGGGTATTTCTGACGTTCAATGGAAGGATAAAACTGAATCACTGACATGCATCACTCCTTAGTAATGTCTTGCTCCTAGAGAACTTTTGTTTGCTTATTTTATTTATTTATAGACAGTTTTTTTTGGGGGGGGAGGTGGGGGAGTTCGAGACAGGGTTTCTCTGTGTAGCTTTGGTGTCTGTCCTGGAACTAGCTCTTGTAGACCAGGCTGGCCTCGAACTCATAGAGATCTGCCTGCCTCTGCCTCTCCGGAGTGTTGGGATTAAAGGCTTGTGCCACCACCACCTAAAACTTGTTTTGTTGTTTGTTTGTTTTTAAATGTAGTCCTGATTGTTCTGAAACTCACTTAGTAAACTGGCCTTGAACTCAGAGACCCTCCTGTCTCTGCTTCCAGAATGCTAGAATTAAAGGTGTGCACCACCTTCTCCCGGCTACTAGAGAATTTGTAATGCTTTCTGTTATTTAAAGAAAAATTGGGCCAAGGCTGGAGAGATGGCTCAGAGGTTCTGAGTTCAATTCCCAGCAGCCACATGGTGGCTTACAGCCATCTGTAATGAGATCTGGTGCCTTCTTCTGGCGTGCAGTCATCCATGCAGGCAGAACACTATATACATAATAAATATATATTTTTTTAAAAAAAGAAAAATTGAGCATGTGGATTTAACAGCATACAATGTATAATGCTCAAAATTAAGCCTGAGCTGATTGCTTAGCAACTACAGCCTTTTCCACCATGGTTTCATCCAAAACCAGCCCTGTGATCTGTGTTTTTAAAAATAAGTTGGTGCATAAACATATTTACATGATTTATTCTTCCTAAAACTTTCATATTCTAGTTGTGTGGAATTGGTCCTGTCCTCCTAACTGTTTGTGGGCTCCAGGGCTCCAGGGCACCAACGGTTGGGCAGAAATAGTCAATAGATTGTGTAGCCTTCAATATTCTGGCGATAAAATGGGGAATTTGTGTTAACAATGCTGGACTAAAACAGCATTCAAGCAGAGACCACTTAAAAACTAAGACAGGATATGTAATAGGGATCATAGAAGGTAATTCTCCTATTAATTTACTTGTAAAATTTTCATGCAAACCTGAAGTATACATGCCATTTTATGCTTTAAAAATCAAATACAATTGTCCTAGCAATGGATGAATTATATACCTAAAGTAGAATATCACTCAGCCTTCAGAAGGGATAAAAGGTGAGTGAGGTGGCCGAGCAGGTACAAGTGCCTGTGTGCAAGTCCATGAGCCTGAGTTCCATCCCTGGAGCCCACAAACAGTTAGGAGGACAGGACCAACTCCACACAACTCTCCCCTGATGGACACGTGCACACAATGGTGCACATGAGCCTCTCTCACAATAATAGTCATCAAAATTGAAACATAAAATGGAAGGGAGTCAGGAATTGTGGTACACTCTGCTGATCATGGGATTCAGGAAACTTTGAAGCCAGCACAGGCCACATAGTAAACCCAACCCCACCCAAGCAAGACTGCATGCCAAGGCCTGTTTCAAAAGTCAAAAGGGTTGAGATTCTATGAGATGCTAGAATAGAGAGTCATAACATTGGACTGACTGGTTTTGTGCCAGCTTGACACCAGCCAGAGTCATCAGAGAGGAAGGAACCTCAGTTGAGGAAATGACTCCATGAGATAGTGACCAACGGGGGAGGGCCCAGCCCATGTTGAGTGGTGTCATCCTGGGGCTGCTGGTCCTGAGGTCGATAAGAAAGCAGCAAGCCAGCAAGCAGCACCCCTCCATGACCTCTGTATCAGCTGCTGGCTCCAGGTTACTGCCCTGTTTGTGTTCCTGTCCTTACTTCCTTTGATGATGAACAGCAAAATGGAAGTGTAAGCCAAACAAACCCTTTCCTTCCCAAACTGCTTTTTATCACCGTGTTTTATCACATCAATAGGAACCCTAATTAAGACAAACATCAAAGACATTATTCTAAGTGACATACACCAGAGTCAAATATCATACACTTTCACCAAATATGGTATCTAGAATGAGCCAGTCCACATAGACAGAAAATAAAATGGTGATTGGCAGGAACTGAGGGGAAAGAGTAGAATTGATGCCTACGGTGTAAAGAGCATCATTCTGGAAGATGAAGGATTTCTGGGAATGGATCATAGTGAAGGTTGCACAGCAACATGAATGCATCTTATGTCATCACACAATTAAAAATGGTTAGATGTTAAGTTTTTGTTGGGTACTATTATTTTAGCACTATTAAAAAACTAAATCAAGGGGACTGGACATGGAGGTACACACCTTTAATCCCAGCACTTGGGAGGCAGAGGCAGGAAGAACTCTGTGAATTTTGAGGGCAGTATGATTTATATAGTGAGTTCTTTGCCTTCCAGGGCTACACAGTGAGACCCGATCTCAAACCAATCAGAAAGCAATGGAATCAAGTTGTTTCGAGAACACACTGGTCGTCAATGGAACTTGTTGGAACAGAAGGGATCGATTCAGCAATGGAATCTGCTCTATTTCCGGGCTCACCTGCAGCAAGCCTTCTTGAGCTGTACCCATTTTACCAGGGAACTTACCACTGCAAGTGCCAGAAGGTAAAAGAAATAGTCCCTCTGGACAGACACACTTGTAGCCCTTGGGATGGATGGGGGACAGGAGGCACAGATGGCTGCAAGAACCTGGAACACACGCTGAGTGTCTGCCTGTTCAAACAGAAACAGTAGACATAGTTCAGACTCTCTGTTCAAACCATTCAAAACTCAGTACTGGAGAAGAGGGAAGATGGTCTGCCTTAAGAAGAATCCAAATCTTCTTGTTATCTTTCATGGGTGTGCTGACCTTTGAACTAAGCTTGTCTCCAGACTGGCTGTCAGACAAGTATCCAAGTGTCTTACCATAGGGCCAACAAACTTTTATCAACTGCACCTTCTCCCTTGGAATTAAGGCAGAACGAGTGTTCCATTGGTTTACTGGGAGACTCCTTGAATGGATCTGTATTCTCCACCATGGTTAGTAGCTACAACATACTTAGCCTAGCGTGCATGCCTTTGATTCCAGCACTCCGGAGGCAGAGGTGTGCTTACAAGACCAGCCAGTCTACACATCCAGTCCCAGGACATCGGTGAGCATAATCCCCACCCTCTATGGATAGCTTATGTTTTCTTTTTCATAATTGTTTTTAAGATTGATTTATTACTTTTTGTATATAAGTGTTTTGCCTGTATACACGCATGCACACCACTTATGTGCCTGGTACCTGAGAGGGTCAGAAAAGGACATTGGATCTCCTGGTTTTGGAGTTACAGACAGTTCAGAGCCACACATCAGGTGATGAGGATTTTTGAACCCAGGTTCTCTGGAAGAGCAGTTAGTGCTCTTAACTGCTGAGACGACTCTCCAGCCCAGAGCTTATATTTCCAATATCCCAGACCCTAAAAACCCAGCTGAGGCGTTAGCCAGATACAGAGCCCAGAACTGGGAAAGAGCTTCCCTGTGAAGCTTCTGTTCTGTTCACCATATCTAGAAGCCCTGTGTGCTGACTGGAAGGAGAAGGGGCTAAACACGTCCCTACCTCCAAACAGAAGTTCCAACAACAAACTGAGATCTCCTCTTGGGCGGCTTCCACCTCAGCAATTCGGAAGCAAGTGCATCACTTACTTTTGGGCTGCTGAGATCTGTGGAGGACTGAGAGAGCAGACACGGAGGCACTGGAGGCGTGGAGCAACACTTCCCTCTCCTTCGGACTCCTGGGAGAGGTCCGGACCAGTTGAGTTTGATTTGCCCAGAAGAAAGCATTCTCAAACACAGTCAGACCAACAGGATGTTCGTCTTCAAAAAATATCCCAGAAAAGGTGTACCTCCCACTGCCGTCCACTTTCACGGTCTCTATGGACTGAAGGATTAGAGTCTCATGAGTTAGGAGAGCGCCAGCAAGGGCTGCTGATGTTGCTGTCACCAGAGGTTTCTGGACGCTGCTTAGATATCCCTGCGACATCAAGTCGATAGGGAGGAATTCATCTAAGCCTGCAGAGTCTACCGTCCAAGTCAGCACATCAAGTGGTCTTTGTCCAGATTTAATGACTGTCCCACATGCTCTACATCCAGACATGGTACCAACACCATTTCTCTCTATTCTGTAATTGGCCCACAAGGTAGGTGTTTCATGTGTTCTCAGAGAGAGCCGTGAGTGTTCACAGAAACATTCTAATCAGCCAAAATCACAACTAGGAAACAAGACTTGGAAACGTGACTCACCAGGCTGTGAGCTTCTGCTTTTAGTCACTACATCGTAGTGACCTTTAAGTTTGTCATTTCCCAAATTGGGATGTTATAAACTGCAACATTAGGCCTTGGAAATCCGAGTTACAGCTCTTAAGTGCCTAAGGAACTGTATGCTTCCGTGGAAGCTCCCAAAAGTCTTCAAAACATATTGTATCATGGGTACAACATAAATTGTGACCTTTATAACTGCAAAAAATTAGCACTGTTGGGCTACAGAGTATGTAAAAAAGAAAAAAGCACACCACGTCTCCCAAGCTGTTGGTACAGTCTGCTCTACTCGAAGATGCTGTGCAATTAAACCTTGCTTTTCTTGTTTTGGCAATGCAAATTACTTCATGGAGTTAATGCTAGCCATCAGAGAAGTGTGTGCATACCTGTAGACCCATTCCCAGCTCCTAGCAAAAGAGAGTTCCCATTTCCTCTGGCTCTATCTAGAGTACCTCTTTATAGCCACCGATCCAGTAGAGTCTGCCAGTCATGTGATCAAGTGTCAGCCCTAAAGGCTCCTCTGTGGTCACCACTGCTAGTGTCTTCCTGTCGGAGCCGTCCATTCCTGCAGTCTCAACCGTCTTCACTCCGTTCTCACTCCGATTTACCCAGTACAAATACCTGCAAGCAGCGGGAGTACGCAGTTTTCAAAAATGCCCTCGCTTGCGTACACACATTATTCTCAACAACTCCGTTAGCCCTCTCCTATGAGCTTTGTCTCTGTCCTGCTCCCGAAAGCTGCAGAGACCCCATATCCATCAGGCACGGCAAGGTTTGGCTACATGGAATTCAGTCTAAGATGTACAAAGAAGAATCTTGTGGAGCAAGTGAAACCTAAAGGCTGGCACTCTCTCTTCTTAAGCATGTAAAATGCCAAGAGATTTGGGGGTACATTCCAAGAGAAATACGACTCACTTCTTTGCAGGAAACACCACAAGCTCCTCCGGCACAAGATCCTTTTCCAAGATTTTGACGTAGCCTCTGCCATCACTTAAGCCAGCACAGATGACCCGCGCAGAGCTACTAGCCCAGTACAACTGTCCCGTAAACCAGTCCAGAGAAATACTGCTCACGGGTGGGAGTTCTGCCGACACGAGAGACAGAGTTAAACATGCAGCTTTTCATGCCTATGTTTGCCAAGTATTTGACAAGACTCCTCAACAACTCATTAGGATCTGTACGACGAGGCAGAGAGGACCCAAGCAATAATGGCCAGAGGTATCCCTCGGAGTCGCTAACGTGCATGCAGGACCCAAGGACAAGCACAGCTAATGCATATGGAGCATGTGGCCTCGGCTCAGACGCTGGGTACCACAGGGGTCTCCGGGAATAGCTCTGTCTGCCACTAAACCTACTGGGCCATGCCCTTCTTCACTATGCTGCCTGGTTAATCCCCACCCTTACCTACTGAGACAAATTCCGGCTAGTGCCCTCATCTTGGAGAGGCAGGTCAAAGGAACGAAGAGCCAAGTTCAAATACCTAGTGACGGAGAAGGCTCTGGTTTAAGGCTAAATCCCAAGATTTCTATCCTTTAAAAACATTTTCATGGACCAAGTGAGGATCTGTGATGCTCTTACAGAGCCAGCCTACCACATACGTGTCTCATATTGGTATTTTATATACTCTCATGCTTCATGACAGGCTAGTCATAAAAGCTTTCCCATCGAAAGATATAGCTATAGATCAGCTATAGATACAGATACTGCTTACAGTATGCTTAAGTAAAGCTATGAGTTGAATACGGGGTATATCACAAGGAGCCAGTACGTTAGAGGCTTTGGTCCCCACCTTGTGGGCATTATTATTGGCAGGTAGAAGAAACCTTTAAATGGGGGGCCTAGTAGGATGTTTTAGGTCATTGGGAGATCCCTTGGAAGGGAAATGTGGGATGATGTTCCTGTCCTCTCTCCCTTTCCTTCCCAACTGTCATGAAGTGAGCAGCTTTCTCCCCTACACTCCCGCCATGATATGCAGCCAATTAACCACTCCGAAGCTTTAGGCTCCAAAATTTTAAGGTTCAATAAGGTTGGCGATCTCAGGAATTTTGTATCAGTAACACAAGAATCCTTAAGAAGTTAATGTTTAATGCCAAAAAAAAAAAAAAAAAAAAAACTACAACTACCACAACAAAAGCATACCTGGGTAGAGAGGAACAGAGCTTGGCTTCCCAAGAATGAACACATTCAAGACTTTATCCACCCAGAAGTACATGTTTCTGTTCAGGTCATAAGCAACAGAACTGGGCCTTGACTTTACAGGGGTGAGCATCTCATAGATGCCTGTTCTTCGGTCCAGGATGCCAAGCTCTTTATCTGCTGCTATAAGAATTTTAACATCGTCATCTGCAGTAGAAGGAAGATGGTAACACATTACTCTGAAGCTTTCTTTTATGTCTTTCCCTTTAACTAAAGATTCGGTTCTTTCCTTTATACCAAAGTCTGCTTCTCCCTAAAGCAGAGACAAAGCACACTCTGGGGAGATTTGTGGGCTGTCTTAGTTCCTCCTTCCCCCGATCCCAGCACTTTAAAGCTAATTGTTGGAATAGTATTTATTGCCTTATTTGATTTCAGATTCAGCTGCTTCCCCTTAGACAGAACTCTGATATGGGCTTGTCACATAGCAGTCACATGTGAGAGTCCCCGAGGCAAAGAAGCTCAGGCCAAATTAAAACTCAACTGGTTGGTTCTCTGGAGCACCCAATTCTGTAGCTCACGAAGTAACTCTATCATCTTAAAGACACTCAGTGTAAGTGACACTCTGGCTAGGCAATGCTTGCCACAGTAGCAGCTTCTTTGGAATCAAAAGCATCGTGTCTAGCGCTAAACCTTAAATTAAATAATCAGGGTTGCTTCTCTATAATTACTATTAAGAATAGAGCAGAAGCTGGGCTCATTTTGATTCTAGAACTCACCTGTAACCCGACAGTCTGTGCCATTGTAGAGCTGGTGACCTTGAATACAGCCACAGGAGTAAGAGCCCTGTGTGTTATGACACAGTTGGCTACAAGGACCATACGCCAGAGAGCACTCGTCTACATCTGCTGGCAGAGAGTCATAAGTTAGAGATGGCTCTGGAACTACAGCTTCCGTAGTTCAGTGCATAGGAGTTTCGGGCTCGCCACTGAGTTCCCATCCGTGTGAATATAAGTTAGCAGAAGCTCCCAGACAGGGAGCCCTGCAGTTTGGCTGCCATGAAATGCAATCTGTGCTAATCCAGCAACATTCTTGGGCTATACTAGTTCCCAGTCACACCAGAATCTGATTCAGAACGACAAGTGTTAGGGTCTAGTGTGAACACTACTCGTGACACAGAAGACTTCATCTAAGAGGAACGAGAAGGTCATGTGCATGGATAGGACACCAAATTGAGCTTACGTGCAATTGGTTTAGAGAGCCTGTGCTCACGAACTAGGCTTGGTGAAACGCACCAAGTACTGGGGAGATGAAAACCAGAAAATCAGGAGTTCAAGTTCATCTTCAGCTACATTCTAAGTTCAGTTCTACCGTGCTCCACATGAGACCTTGTTTCAAACAAACAACAAAAACCACACAGGACTCTCCAGCAGATAATCGACAAAACTATGAGAGATTTATTTAGTTTAATAGGCAGGAAAATGGTTCCTTGGGGAGATTTTAGGAAGATGTTATTCCTCCTAAACCACAAAGTCCTGGAACATAACAACACTTTTCAGTTCCAGGAGTGTAACTGACACATGGCCACAGTCAAGTTTGTAGCCAGCCAAGCCTTGCTGTGAGTCAGAACCCAAAAAGTGTGCTACAACCCTACCTAGATGCTTCTGAGGGCCATGACCAGCTTCTAATGAAGAATTCATAAATCTTATAACTTATAAGTATTGGTTTCATTTAAACAATAAACTTAAATTTAATTACTAAGATTTATTAAATTCTAATTATAAGTGATGAACTTAAAAGTAGGTTCCTAACATCTCTTAATAAAGTCTTAAGATTAAAGCCATTACAGAAGGCAATTTTAAAGTTCCTATATAGCCTTCCCGGGTGGGTAGACCTGCAGGTCCATCATAAAGGGAGCATTGAATACACAGACAGGGCTGATAGCAGAGCTCGACCTGTCCTTAGGATGAACATAGTTAACACAGCAGATCCTTTATTCTTGCGCTATACTTCAACCGAAATTATCATCCTGTATTGTTCTAGATAGAAGCTGTAGGCTACTTACTGGTCATATGTTTTTTACATTATTAAGAATAATGAAGACAAGTAAATCTTATGTCAGCCATCCCAGGTCTATAGCTCCATTTTACAAAAGAGAGAAATGAAACCCAAGGATTAAATGACCTGAAGAAGGTCAGCTGAAAGGGACATGCCGAGCAGAAATACAATGTACTTCAGTTCACAGGCTCTCCATCCTTGGTGGCAGAGACCTGGGGATTGGCTGTAAAGGGACAAGGATATTTGTCCAATGACAGAAGCTCTTTACGCTTCCATAAGGTAGGACACTAAACTTCAGTCTAGTGTCTAAGTCTTTGGTCTTTGGTCAATAATTGACTTGCAATTCCCACAAACTAGAGTAATAATTAGAATCGACAAGATTAGAATTTTGTTCCTGGTGGAAATACGTGTGCTCCACCATTCCACATGTGGAGTGTAGTCAGATAACTGAAAAGGAGGATTCAAATTTATATTCCTACAGCAACAGACATGCTAGTGTTGTTCGTGATCTTTCTCTCTCTCTCTCTCTCTCTCTCTCTCTCTCTCTCTCTCTCTCTCTCACACACACACACACACACACACACACACACACACACACAGCAGAAACCCAAATGCACCATTAATAGCTAAATAGGAACAATGCGCTATAAGCATAAACAAGTATAAAATAGAATTACGTTCAGCCTTTAAAAGGAAGGGAATACTGATACACAGACGAACCCTAGAGACATGTGACTCACAAAAGGACAAACACTGAGCAACTCCACTTACGTGGTGATACATAGAATATACAAACTCACAGAAACGAAAAGTCAGGAGGAGTTACCAGAAGCTAAGGCATATGGGGCCTAGGAAGCTATTGTTACGTAGACAGAGAATTTCTGTTGGGAATCATGAAAAGAGCTAGAAATGCATGATGGTGAAAGTTGTACAATGTAAATGCCTGAAACACTAAAATTTATGCTGTGTACTTGTCGTTACAATAAGAACATTTCTAGAGGACGAGCCAGCTCTGACCTCCACAGCTCCATCCATCGGGCTGCAACTGCCACCCTGACGTGCAGGAACACTGGACACCCCAGCGGGTATCACTGCATGACCCCTCACAGCCACCATTCAGCAGGGAACAGTTTTTACCTGTGGGGATAAGGCAGCAGTCAAAACAATTGAGCTCGGTGGTTCATGCTTTACAAACCACGTTGGAACATGCACCTTCTGAGCTGGGTGAGGAACAGTTGAGCACTCAGAGACAACCTTTGACCCTGCCCTCTCAGCTGGGAAAATGGGGCTAGGGGAAGACTACATGGAACAGGAAAGGTATGAAGTCCAGGACCACGGCAGTGGCATTTCTTTCCAAGCTATCATGTAGACAATTTCAAGGGTTGATGTATTTATTTCCCTTCTATAGTAAAGTCAAGACCTTCTTATGTGCTTCCTGTGGGGTCCGTGGGTAAGGGGGACACTTGGCCCTGTATATTGTATTTATGAATGCAATGAGTTCTCTACATCAGACCCAAAGCTGTACTAGGTTTGGTCATTGGTGCTTTAATAACTCTTACTTGTGTTCTTATAGTACAAAGTTTCTTCAAAAGCCTTTAGGGGAGTCTTAAGAAGCATGGGGGGGACGGGCGATTGTGGCTCATACCTTTAATCCCAACACTTGGGAGGCAGAGGCCGGCGGATCTCTGTGAGTTCTAGGCCAGCCTGGTCTACAAGTGTTAGTTCCAGGACAGGCACCAAAGCTACAGAAGCGTGGGGGACAGGAGACAAATGAAAAATGACTTGAGGTGAGATGCCCACTCTCTATTCTTGCACTGGCTGCGTTTGTGTGTAAACTTGACACAAGCTAGAATCATCAGAGAGGAAGGAGCCTCAGCTGAGGAAATGCCGCCATGAGATCCAGCTGTAAGGCATTTTTTCAATTAGTGACCAGTGGAGAAGGGCCACTGTGGGTGACAGTGGGTGGTGCTATCCATGGATTGGTGGTCCTGGGCTCTATAAGAAAGGAGGCTGAGCAAGCCAGGGGAGGCCATCCAGTGGGCAACTCCCCTCCATGGCCCCTGCATCAGCTCCTGTCTCTAGGTTCATATCCCGACTTCCCTTGGTGATAATCAGCAATGTAAAAATGTAAGCTGAATAAACCTTTTCCTCTTCAATTTGCTCTTTTTCATGGTGTTTCATCACAGCAATAGCAACCCTAGCTAAGAAACTTCCCAGTGATTCTTCGAGTGCAAACCACAAAGTTAAAAAGTCAGTTACAGCAATGGTGGCAAACACCATTAATCCCAGCACTCGGGAGGCAGAGAACGGCAGATCATTGTGAGTTCAAGACCAGCCTGGTCTACAGAGCGAGTTCCAGGACAGGCTCCAAAGCTACAGAAAAACCCTGGTCTTGGAACAACAACAACAAAAAAAAAAAAAAAATAGTTACAGCTGGGTGATGGTGGCACATGCCTTTAATCTCAGAGGCAGGTGGATCTCTGAGTTTGAGACCAGCCTGGTCTACATAATAAGTTCCAGACAGTCAGGGCTACACAGAGAAATCCTGTCTCAAAAAAGGAAAAGAAGAAGAAGAAAGAAGGGAAGGAAAGAAGGAAGGAAAAAAGATAGAAAGAAAAATATCAGTTATTTTTCAACAACCTTTCTCCTTACAAGAAAACATGCTTTCTGAGGTTTTTCTTAGTTAAATCCTTGGAGAATTCTATTTTATTTTTTTTCTTAAACAGATTGATTCATTCCTCCCCCAGACAGGTGCCAAATGGTTTCTATTGCTCCCATTGGTTTTGTGCGTTTTCTTGTACTGGATCTGCAAAGCTGTATTGAATCTTATAAAATCCCCAAGCTGAAAGCTGAACAAAAGCAGTGAGCAGCAGGCTCAGCCAAGGCTTTCTGGAGAGGGATCCCTAGATTGGGTGAAGTCTGAGCATAGTGCTGCAGATGGCTGACCCTCAACAGAGGGCGTGGCCCTTGTTGTGATGTGAATTCTACCAACATTAGAGGATACACTGCTGGCTTTATCGCAAACTTCAGAAGCAGTGTAGTATCTAGGTTTTTACTTAATCCATCTCCTTAAAGCTACAGAATGAAAATTGCTCTTGAAGTTTTGCAAGTTAGAGGATTTTCCTCATATTCACAAGAGCAAAGCTAGGAGCCTTAATTTAATAGATGAAATTTGTGATGTGATAAAGTGTAAGGAACAAAGGCAATTGCCTGTGTGTGCATTTTACTTTAAGCATTCTTCCGAGGAGTCGGCCCCGATGATAACTGTTAGGGATGGATTCTAAAACGTCGCCTACCGACTCCTGAGTTTGAACGTGCGCTCCCCTGATAATGGTGCTATTCTTGGAAGCGTGGGACCTCTGGAACCGGGGAACTCGCTAGTTAGAAAGTGGGCCACTGGGAGCAGGTCTTTTACAGTTACAGCCTCAGCCCCGTTTCTCTGCTTCCCATTCTGCAGAGACGAGAAAAGCAGCAGCCACACACTCAGGATGCCCTTGCACAACACACCCTCACCCAGCCACAATCCATCCTTCCTCCCCTTAATTGCTTCTGTCACAGCCAAGTGTGCAGTAATTAATCCGGTAACTAAGGCAGTGAGCTAGTTCGTCCCGTTTTCCCACCTCCCGTCTTAAGCTGAGGAAGCGGTTTCTTACCGCACGTGCTGGGTTCATCAGTACCATCTGTGCAGTCCGCGTTCCCATCACACATCCGAGAGTCTGGGATGCATTTCCCTCCGTCACAGCTAACAGCGCCTTCTGGACAGGTGGCTGGGGAGGAAGTTGAACTTCTTCTTCACTATTGCTCATAGCCCAGGAGGGTAATCAGGGACTATCCCTTCAGTAGGTTACCTGCCAATATTTCTGTAGCCCAAGCAATTGAGGATTGGAAAGGAAAAGCTTATCATTTGAAACTGATTTTTGTCTTTCGGGGAGTTAGGGCTTTAGACTCCATCGTAAAAATAGCGAGACATCTGGGCACTCATGCTAAACTTGATTGATCTAGCTTTAAATAGTTGGAATTAAAATTGTACTGGAGTCAGTCACTTGACCCGAACAGAGTATTCCTCTAAAAAAAAACCACCTAATTGTACAAATGTTAGATGCTGAGCACATTTAATTTTGCAGCCTTAACTCCACAAAAGTTTGGGTAGGATTTCAGTCCACCGGGAAACCAGAGGCTGCACTTTTCTGGGGTTGGGAGGACATCTAGGAGAGGAATGTGGTGCTCGCCACACTTTGGGGTTAGGTTTTGTGTTTTTTAGTGGGAGATTTTATTGACCGTGTTCACTATGTGAGAACAGGTGCCAACGGTTGCTAGGATCCCTGCAGAGACTGGTGCTCAGGTCTTCTAGAGACTGCTAGCTCATCAGCACTTGGGACATTCCAGGTAGTGCTTATTTAGCATATACATTACAGGGGTTTTTATTTACCCAGCCCTCTGTGTTTCTGTGGATAGCTACGCCTCGGCTCTTGCTAGGGAGCATCCCGTTTTTAGATAAAGGATGGTAGCCTCAGGGATAGGGATTAAACATAGCCTGAACTAAGCAGTCCACGTCCTATACCTTGCCCTTGAAACTTAAGGGGTTGCCAGACATACCACAGCCTTCCTCGTCCGAGGCATCACCGCAGTGGTCGATGCCATCACACCGCCAGCTGGCCATGATGCATGCGCGATTCCGGCATTGCCACTGCCCCGCCAAGCAACGGCTGTGGGGACAGTGTGCTTTTATGGAGTCATCGTCACAGTCCTGATGGTCATCACAGTGTTCCCAAGCATCCAGACACTGAGCCTTTCCCGGACACTGGATTTTGTAGTCCGGACACGCTGTCAAGATCTCTGAAAGGCAGGAATTAGGTGAGTGGGGCAGAACTGCGGGACAATGACAGACATGCTTATCCAGGCAAGAACTATGGCTACGCCATGGACTCCATCTATTAAAGCAATCGCTAAGAGATGCTAGCTGGATGTCATTAGGGACATGGTTGTGACTTTCTGCACTGACGTTTCTCCCCAAGATAAGTTTTCAAAAAGTCAATAAAGCTAATAAATTTGAAGGGAAAAAATACAAAGAAAAGGTCTAAGAATCTTTTATAACACCAAAGACAACATAACATCTGGCTTAGCCCATACAACCTAAGGCTATTCCGTGGCTTACTTTCAGTTAGCAGCACTACAGATGATGTGAGTGAGCAGAATGATGATGGACTACTGAAAATAGTGGTACAAGGCTGATGAAATGGCCGGGGAGGTAACAGTCCTTGCCCCTAAGCCTGTTGACATGAGCTCAGTCGCTGGGACCCATGCGGTGGAAAGAGAGCATCAACTCCCCAAGTCGTCCTCTGGGGTGCTGCATGGGGTCCATGCATGCATGCGTATGCCACCTGCACAGGTGCATACATAAATAACAAATGGGTGCAATTTCTAAAGCAATTCATACCTACCACAGTTAACCTCGTCGGAGCCGTCTAAGCAGTCCCTGGCACCATCACAAAGCCAGCTGGTAGGAATGCATTTCCCATCATCACACTGCCAGGCTTGCCGGTGCCCAAGGCAAGTTTCCTCTGCAGGCCAGAGTTGGATTCAAGAGCAGGCAAGGAGGAAGATGAGCTTGTCAGAGTCTGTCCGTTTGCTGGATTTCAAGTCATAACATTTAAAATAGCAAAGCAATGAAGACTTCTAAGTTCGACACTGACCCCCAACCGTGAACTTGCTGGTTCCCTTCACACTCCTGACAGCAACTCTACGGTATAGCTTACTTCTCCCATTACTGTGACAAAATACTCGACAGAAGCAACTTGAGAGAAGAAGAAATTATGCAGGTCCACAGTTGAATAAGGAATACAGTTTGTCATGGCAGAGACGGCATGGTGGCCAGAGTGTGAGGTGGCTGGGCATAGTACATCCTCAGTCAGGAATCAGAGAAATGAACACTCATATTTAGCTTACTTTCTCCCCTCCCCCCCTTTTTTTTTAAACTCAGTCTGGGACACCAGTGCTTGGAAAAGCGCCACCTACATTCAGGGCAAGTCTTTCCTCCTCTGTGAAACTCTGGAAACTACATTGCAGACATGCCCAGAAATGTGCCTACTGGATGGTTCTAGAGTTGGTCAAGCTGAGAGAGATTGACGATTAACCAATTAATCTACTTTAACAAGGAAGAATGACCCAGGAGCCTTCAAAGCTTAGCCTCGCTGCCATTGTTGAGAACACTGTAGTCTAGCAAAACTTTTGGGGCAGAGATATTTTATAAGCGTTCTAAAGTGGCAGCTAGCCATGCACTGCTAACAAACACAGGAAAGGTAGGTTTTGCACAACAGGCTTGTTTATTTATATCTAACCATTCAGGTACATTCTGACCCCTACAGGTGGCTGGAAGCCAAGACAGTCCACCTCTTTGAATTCCTTTGATCGCCAAGACTGTATTCAGATCAAAGACAATGCCGGGGAACTAGTAGATTTCGCGGCAAACCCACCTTCAAATAGTTCACCTAAAGAAGGAGACTTAGAGAGTCAGGGTAGCATGCCCGAGGACTACACAACAAAGCAAGCATGGAAGTGTATTCCAACCCATAAACATACGCCTGTTTCTGTTTGTTCATTTGCTTGTTTATTGGATTCTGAGGCTTTAGCCCAGGATTTGCACGTGACCCTCAACCCTGGAGCTTCACCCTGAGTCCTGAGAATGTTTTCATACCAAATATTTCATGTGAAGTTAGAGACAGCAAGTGTCCACCCAAGAAGAAGAAAGTGGGATAAACAAAGAAAGGGCATACTCACCGATACATTGGTTCTCTCTCTCTCTCTCTCTCTCTCTCTCTCTCTCTCTCTCTCTCTCTCTCTCTCTCTCTCTCTCTCAATGCATCTTTAAGCTTTCTGTCTGTACTAGCCTTCAGGTGACCCACCTGGGGCTTCGAATACACTAAGCACTGAGAACAGGGCCTTAGAGCAGCAAACTGTTCGCCAAATATTTAACTTGGCTTCTAAAAGTTTTGTACTTTGTTTGCTCAATTTGCATACAAAAGAGCTTTGTGTATTAAGGTCTACAAGGCTTCCCGAAGAGCCTCTGGATTAGTCTAGTTAAATAAATATGGTCACCAATGCTTAAGCCTAAATTTAAGGTGCAAACTCTGCTTTTACAGTGGCGCCACTAATACTTGACGACGACTGGATTTCGTCTTTGAGAGCCTGTGACACTCAGAGCACTCCTCATGATTGACTCTCCCCTCAGGGGACAAAAGCCATGAGGATGGACACTGTCAGACAAAGACACATCAAATACCTTATAGCTGAAATGATGGGAACTTTCTGAAGTATTTCAGGTTAAAGATTTTTCCATTTATTTTGCATACACACACACACACATGCACACATGCACAAGCACACTGAAGTATCACAAGGATGGGCCCAAATCTAAATAATTCTGACTATTTTTTCACAGCATTAGGATCAGCCTAGGGTCTTGCACATTGTATATACTATCCCCCCAGCTTTTCATTTTGAGACAGGCTCTTGATAATTCTTCCAGTTTGTCTTGAACTCAGCCTATAGCTTAGGCCAGCCTTGGTCTTGCGATCATCCTGTCTCTACACACAATCTGAAGGTAATTTTATATGCTATTTTTAGTGAACCTGTCTTCTGGCTGAGACCTATCACATGAAGTCAGATAGGGAATGTCCCGTGGTGGTATCATGTTTGTATTAAACCACTTTCAGATTTTCACATCGGGAATGCTCGACCTGGCCTAGGACGCCAGGGCTGGTGTACGAGAGCATCTCGAGAAGTGCTTACCACACTGCTCGTCCGTCCCATCCGGGCATTCTTGCTCGCCATTGCAGAGCCAGGCCACAGGAATGCACTTCTCGCCACAAGCCACTTGCCGGGTCCTGTTACACTCGATTTCACCTGCAGTCAATAAGCAAGAGGCGGAGTCCTGAGAGTTTCTGGCCCCCACAGCCTAAGACGGCATTTTTTTCTCCATGATAAGAAGCCATGGAGTGTTCTGTTGAGGAAGACTAAGTTCTTCCTCCCACTCCACTTGGGCTCACTAGGAAATTCCTTTAGAACCAGGTCCTCCTGGTGTATAGAGTTGCTTCGGGGAGGTTTACTGTGTGTCTGTTCTCTGTTAGGTTAGAGGAGACTCACACTTGGGCACCAGTAGACACAGGCGCAGTAATGCCAGATCTAATTCGCTCACAAAGACATGGAAAGTGAAGTTATATGTCTAGGCTCAAAACCTTAGAGCCTAAGTACTTCCATTTAATCTTAGACATGTACAGACCACGTTCAGGGTCCAACACAACATTCTTTTAACAATATCTCTCTCTCACGGCTATGCTATAAATACTTGGAAGCTTTCAAAGACTGGATTTATATTATTTCATTCAAGTCATGAACTTGTAGCTATTGTGTGGTGTTCAATGGTTACCAAAAGCCAGAAGTGGAGGAGGCTCGGAAGGAAACTGCAGGAAGGTCTGAGTACTCATTTACTGTATTGAACTAACTCTTACAGAGGAAAAGACAATCGTTGGCTCCTAGAAAACATAAGCTATACGGCCTGTCCCTGCCGGAGTCCCTGCACCGTGTGTGGAGTACTCAGTAAACAGAACTTACTGAGTACCCAGCAGCAGCCTGGGTCGCTAACTGATGGAAGTGGACGTGAAACAGCTCCTCCTCCCAAGAGACTGGATCCCAGTCTTACAGGTTTTCTTCTACAATTGTGTCACCAACTCAGTTCGATTTTAAAGCAAATGCAGTTTTTAGAAAGCATTTAAAATAAACCCCCAGGAATAGAGTTTATTACTGGATTAGCTGCCACCTCTAGCATCTCCTCCTATTCCATCTAGGCTATCATGTGACTAAAGCCGGCGAGACCCTTTAATGTCTGGCTACTGCTACTATGGGAACAAGCTCAGTCCGCAAACCACCTGGGCTGGCGCATTTTGGTTGGCCTACTTGCTGACTGACTCTCAGGGTGTCTGAATATCCAGAAATGAGCTTAACCTGAACTACTACAGTGGGATTTCTGGTGACTGACTCCAATGTGTCCTAAGAAGTCGTTCCCCTTACCTCTGGCAGAGGGGACACATGGCTCCACTGACATAGATCTGTGGGTGCATAACAAAGTGCTGGCCTGCAGGCTCCCTCAGTCTCTATCCCCAAGTATTGTAATACATTTCACAGCCCCCACACCAGCCTCATGGCCCTTCCCTCCTCCTAGCTATGCACCCTCTCTGTGCCCGGCTATTCTCTACTCTTCCAGCACTTTCTCTCACCCCCTTCCCCTCTTTCACTATGCTCTATTCTCCATCTCTTGCTATGCTGAGAACTCCACTGTTCTCTCCAACTTCAATCACCCTGACCAGGTCCAGTCTGCTGGCCACGTTCCGCTACTTCTTTCTCTCTCTGCTCTGGACTCTTCCAGATGTCTCTGGCTGTTTTCTCTCTCTCATATCTACAAGAAAAACCTTAGTCATGTCGTGGAGCGGCCAAGTCCTCTTCTCCCATTCATCCTCTCACACACGGATAATGGGATCTCGGTTTTGTCGTGTATGCAATCAGGCTAGGCTATACGGGATCCTGAAAAGGAGATTGAAGGCTTAAGCGGACAGGAAGCGGCTTGGCTCAGAAGCTGCTAAATCAATGCTCATCAGACATTAGCTCCTTTGCTACCTCTTGTAGCCGATCCTTCCAGGAGGATCTCAGGGCTGCAGTTCACCGTCAAAAAACTCAGACCATTAGGTGAATCACAACTGAAGAATACTTTGTCTCAGAGATGATCTATTTAGGAACCCAAAATACATATGAAATCTGGGCATTACATGCAGACTGTTTTCTGATACTTTCCTAATACAAGTAGGTGCTTACTATAAAGGCATTTATAAAGTACTTACTAACATCTATTGACATTAAATTCACAGTGGCTTGCTCGTAATCATGGTATCAAGTACACTGCTAAGAGTTGTCCTAAAGCACATGTAAAGATACCTTTATACTCAACGATGTGAAATCACTGTGTTTTAAAATCCTGTTTCAGAAGTGGTATGGGGAGATGAGTCACAGCCTAGATGCTGCAGCAGGTTAGGCACACATTTTGAGGGTCAGAACCTTACGTCGGCTTGATCAAGAAACAAGATACAAACATAAAACGACTTCACGTGTGCATTCTTCCCTTTGTGCCCGGGGTAAGCTCGGGCACATCGGTGCGGTGGGATTGCCAGCCTCACTAGACAGGTGCTTCTCAAAAGCTGCATGCTTCCGACCTCTGTCGGCATCAGCAGCTAGCAACTTCATCCCCTGGGAACAGAACCTGTCTCAGTCAACCGGGGACACGTCGTCTCTCTTCCAGATGCCACCTTTGGATCTGTCTACAAAAGTGGCATCCACCAGTGCCGCAGGGAGTGCTCCTGTCCGTTCTTTCCCAGGGGCAGCTTTGGAGAGTGGCTATTCTCAGTGCCTAGCAACCACCCCATGGCGACTGGTGGGAAACTAGAGCTAGGAAGCGAGTCCCACCGGATCTGGACTTAGAGGAAGGAAGAATCTAAGAGGTAAGGTGTTCTAAGTACTCAGGGGTGGAGAGAGCTCCTTTTGCACTTTTGCTGGGTGACTCCACGAAAGCAACGAAAATCTTTGTCCCTGATCTTATCTCTCCTCCTATTCACAGGTTTGCAAAGGGCCTGGCAATCTTGGGTGATCCAGGTCCCTTCCTGTAGGATGCTCAGCCTCACTGGTCTACACCCTACACACAGCTGGGGACAGACAGCACACTTAGCGAGGCCGCTTGAAGTTCGCCTTCTGTCTGCCTCTGCAGGGCGCTGCTAGTACATTACTGCTACCCTGCACCCTACATTCTGCACCCCGCAAACCCGAGCTGCGACCCTTCCAAGGGCGCCCCTGCACACACGCCCCACTCACCTGCCCCTGAGCGCCCGACGCTGCCCAGCGATACCAGCATCAACGAGAAAAGGAGCTGGAGCATCCGGCACCGCATGCCTGGGAAGGCTAGACTGTGGGATTTGTTCTCGCCTGGCGCCTGAGTAAGGAAAGCCCGGGAGGGAGGAGCAAGAGGCAAGGAGTGCAGGACGCCGTGGGGGAGGGGGCGGGGTGCAGTTCCCACGCCTCCTTGCAGATTGCTGAATCCCAACCTGGGGTGTGCCGGTGCGCATCTTGTGCGCGCACTATCAGGGTAAGACTTGCCGCTGTCCAGGAAGGTCTCCTCGCACTGTGGGGACTTTGTGTCCCGATCGTCAGTGGGACTGGAAACAGCGGTAGGCTCACTGGGAGCTGGCTCTTGGGGGACATGGAAAGGGTTGGTCTGCTCACGAGTCACTTGGAAATTTCACTCAGAGATTTTACATTTACAGACCTGAAGCAGGTCTACCTCTCAGGTGATGCAGTGTGTCATGTGCTCTTCCCTCACTTTGCAAAGCATAGAATTCCCTCTGTCTCTCTGTCTCAGCCTGTCTCATCCTCGCGCACTCTCTTTCTCTCATCCTCTCTCCCTCCCCTCTCCACCTCAACCCCCGAGTGTTTGTGCACCCTGGCACTGCCTCTCCTCCTGCCCCACTTCCCCCTTATCTCCCCCCCCAACCCTCCTTTCCGTGTACCTAGTCAGAATAAATCCTCTCTATGACCCAGTCTCAAAGATGGTGATGAAGGCTCTAAACACATCTTTCTTTCACTGCTAAAGTCCGGAACAGCACTCCTGGTTCAGTCCATATGACTGGGCAAGTCGAATTTGTACCGAGCTAAGCATGAACCCAAGAGAGCCGGCAGAACTTAGCTAGTGGTCATCCCACTGTTCAGGAAGGGTGGATGAATTTTCAGCGGCGCTTCCCACCTGGCACCTCCCACCTCGTTTTCTTAGCGAAGTCAACACTTTCTCTCCAGCAATCCGGGAGAGGTGGATGTCAGCTTCTTGGAAAGAACAGAATGGAGTTAGAATTTATTATGCTAAACTGGCAAGGAGCATTTTTAGTCTATAGGAATGAGAGACAGCAATAAAGCCCTAGAAAAAAATAGAAACAGAAAAATGAATTGCAAAGTGCCTCCTTAGACCGTATTTGCAGCGCTGTAGGCCAACAGCCTCGCTTTAACTAGTACCTCCTCTTCATGTTCACTGTGGCCCTATCACACCGAATCGGAGACACCACAATGCCATATGCTCTGAAGTTTTCTTTGACTGTGTTGTATGCTCTGATTGCATAAGCCAACTTTTTAAAAATTGCCTGTTTTTTTTAAAACAAAATCTTCTAAGATATTATATTGGTTTCTTCCTGAAGTATCCGTGTTCTGAATCATATTATTTTATACGCTTTAATAATATTCAATGTCAAAGAGAGGCAATCAGAGCCATGAGAATATAGACTTGTTCTCACAGAAGGCTAATGGGATAGGTATCACAAACCCACATACCTGAGACCGTTCCTGAATTAAATGAGATTATATGCTGTCTCAGCCACATAGTTACCATAGATATATGACTTGGTCAACAGACATTTCTTTTCTTACAGTTCTAGAGGTTGGAAGTCCATGAAGGTGCTGGCAAAATCAGGGTTTGCTGAGGGACCATTTCCTACTCTGCGGATGGCTTTGTTCTTGTCAAATGCTCACATGGAGAAGAACACAGAAACAAAGCAAATTCTGTTGTATGCCCCTTAAAAGGACACCAATCCCATGATGGGGTTTCACCCTCATTACCTAGTTACTAATCCTATGATGGGTCTCCACCCTCATTACCTAGTTACTAATCCCATGATGGGGGCTCCACCCTCATTACCTAGTTACTAATCCCATGATGGGGTTTCACCCTCATTACCTAGTTACTAATCTCACAATGGGGGTCCCACATTCATTACTTAGCTCAAAAGTTTCCAGACCCTAATACTATGTCATCATCATAGAATTTCACCTCGTGAACTGCGGGTGACACAAACATGTAGACCATAACATATGTACACCGGAACGGCTGCCTTATTGCTTTTATTATAAATAGCATCGGCTCCTAAAAGCTCTTAGCAGCAGAGAAACTGCAGACATAGGTGATATATTTTTGAATTTTTGGTTGTGAGCCTAGCCTTAATGGCTGAGCCATCTCCCCAGGCCAACATAGGTGATATAAATAAATAACCTTTAATTTGTCTTTAAATCATTTTATTCTTGAATCTCATGCTCTTTAGTTATATCTGCTGTCCTTTTACTTTTTTTTCCTCTTGCCAGGTGTGACATTTTGCCTCTTATTGTAAGTCTGTGGTAATCAGGACATTTCCCACCCAATAAAAATAGTCTACATCTTAATACTCAGAGCCGGCAATGGCTTATATGGCTATGGTAGTTTGGCAGTAATTGTCCCCCCCCAAACTTACAGGGGGTGGCACTGTTAGGAGGTGTAGCTTTGTTGGAATAGGTATGGTCTTATTAAAGGAAGTGTGTTACTGCGGGGGTGGGCTTTGAGATCTCCTATGCTCAAGTCATGCCCAGTGTGCCAGTTCACTTCCTGTTGCTTTAGATTAAGATGCGGGACTCTCAGCTCCTTCTCCAACATCATATCTACCTGCATGCTATCATGACCCACCATGATGACAGTGGACTAAACCTCTGAACTGTAAGTCACCCCAGTTAAATGTCTTACCTTATAAGAGTTGCCATGGTCATGGTGTCTCTTCACAGCAATAAAAACCCTGCAGGAGTCGGTTATCTCAGTCCACCATATAGTTCTGGAGACTGACCTGACGTAGTCAGTCTGGGCGGCAGGTGCCTTTACCTGCTGAGCCATCTCCAGGGCCCTTAGCTTTTTGAGTTCAGAAACTATTTCTTATTTTGCTTATTTGTTTCTTTGCTTGTTTGTTGTTATGTTGTCCTTTCTCAGTGTTTTAATCCAGACCTCCTGGTGCCGATCTAAGGAATGTCAACCAGCCTTAAGTTCCTTAGTTATTTCTGTTTCACTGTGGCCTCCCCTGAGAGAAATCACTTAACGGAAGAGAGATTAACTTTGGCTCGCAGTTTCGAGGCTTTCAGCCCACCACTGTGGTGGTGGGGCATGGTAGAGATCATGGCGGCAGGAGTACGAAGCAGGGACTCCTGACAACATGGCAGACCAGGAAGCAGAGAGAACAGTGAGGGCAGGGCCTAGGCATCACCTTCAAAGGCCCACCCGGAGTGACCTACATCAGTCAACTAGACCACAGCCCCTAAATGTTCCACAGCCTCCCAAAACATCATCAACAACTGAGAACAAAAGTTCAAAATGTGTGCATTTGGGGAATATTTCATTTCAAACTCTGAGATCACAGAGTATCATTGATCATAGTATTGATTAATATTCCAAGTATTGTTCTAGGCCCTGGGGGTGCACTGATGAATAACACAGACAAGATATCTATCTACCTGTAGAGTTTCTAGTAAATGTGGCTGGCAACGGGGGTAAAGGAAAAGACATGTGATCAGTAAGATAAATTAGCACGTATCATAGTTTATTACAAAGCGATAATGCTTGTGGAGAAAATAAAGGAAGAGGAATACAGAGTGTTGGCGAAAGTAGAGGGTCATGTTTCAATGCTCAAGAACATTGCTGTGTGACCCTCTTGCAGAAGATGTCACCTATATAAAAAGAGGACAGTGGAAAACTTCTCTTTGGGAGAATATAGAACTGGAAAGCACATCACACACCACAAGAAAACTGGATGGAATATAGGAAACAGCAGGTAGTTCAGAGTGGTGACCACTGAGAGAAAACAATTGGCCTACTATTCCCCTGGAGGTAACTTCCTGGCTGGATCCCAGAAAAAAAAAAAAAAACACAGATGCTGTGTGCAGCCTTGTTAAGAGCATACCGGTGAGAGTTCAGGGAGGCTGAGAATGCTAGAATTTCAGGACAGAGCCCCAAAGAGAAGAAATTCATATGAAGAAAGTTTTAGAAATCTCTACACAGTGCCCTTCATGAGGATGCTGAACCAGTTCTTGTAAAGATTGTGTAAAACGCCATGAAACTAGGCCAGGACAGGAGAGAGAAGAGAAAGAAAACCTTCTTCAGGGGCTGAAGAAATGGCTTAGTGTTCAAGAGCACTTACTGGTCTTGCAAAAGATTTGGGTTCCGTCCAGGAGATCTGTGCTTCTTTCTGAACTTCAAGGTCCCTTACACGCATGGTACACTTCCACCCATGCAGGTTCACACACACACACACACACACACATACATATTAAAAAAATGAATACATGAAAGTATATCTTATTGTAAGCAATTCCAAAATGTTCCTACAAGGAACTGGGTCTTCTCCAGCAAGTGTGAAAAGACTTCAATGAGCACTAAAGTATCTGGTAGAGACTTCAGAGGTCCAAGACAGCTATGGGAAGCAGCAAGCATTCCTGGCTGAGGCATAGTAGTGATACATGGCTTTGCTCCAAGTCCTGGAGAAGCAGAGGTAGGCAGATTTCTGTGAGTTTAAGGAAGACCAACCTGATCTACACAGTGAGTTTCTGGCATAAACAAACACAAACCTCCCAGACTAAATGATACTCTGTCACCAGTGTCCACTTTGTAGGCAAGGATAATTGTGAATGTGGCCTAACACAAAATTGTAAACTTACTTAAAGCATTAAAAAATGTTTGTGTGATTAAAAAAAAATAGTTCTCCAGTACGACTTTTATAGTTGACAACATCATGTCACAATGTCAAATATTCAGCTAAGATCAATTTTCATAGAAAAATAAACAAGCACATTTGTCTCAATATGTGAATTTTCATATAGTAAAATCACATTTCATACCAAATAATTATTTTAAAATAAATTGTATTATGATTTATTGCCAATAAATATTAAATATGCTGTGTTTGTTTTATGTACTTATATATCTGTGGCTACCTTAAAATTTTTGCTGAAGGTCTAAGAGTGCCTCCTATAGGTTAGATGAGTTTATCACACACCCAGGAAACTCAGCAACTCAAGCAGAGTGCATACAAAAGCCTAACCCAACAGTCTTCACAAACAGGTAAGTAAAAGTCATTGGTGTGTATGTGGGCGATGCTGGAGAGATGGC